ACCTCTTGTTGCCTAACTATTGGCCAGTTATTAAACCAATGAAAACATCTTCACAGTGTACAACAGGCTTATTCCTCAGCATAGTATGGTTCTCTGACTTTTCTGCTCAAGGGTAAGAGACTTGTATTCCAGTTTCATTGCATACAGCATGATCTTCCATCGCCAGCTCCTTCACTCAGTTCCTTCCCTTTCCCACCACATCCTCAGGACACACCCAGCATTTCCCGCATGAGTGTCTGAACCCTTTCCTCACTGTGCAGCTTTGTCTTCCGGCGTGCCACTCCAGTTTAGATGCCGCTGAATCCAGACATTTCACCTCCTGACAGTCAGCTTGGTAAACACCTCAGAACTTCACCTTTATTTTACCATGAGACATGTTATTGGTTTATTTAATGTTTAACAACCCCACCACCACCACCGGACTGCAACTCCCCAAAAACAGCACCTGTTTTTTTGTCCCCACCCTGGGCACAGTGTACTAGGCTCAGGGCACACTTGGACAAGATTCGATGCCATTTGGGAACATAAAAATCATATTACAGACATTAAGCGGGGGGCAATGAATCCTACCTACTCTGCAAGTCAAACTGGCGGAGTTCATGTGCCGGTTGTCCTTGTGCTGATATGTGTACTTGGGCAGTTTTCTCCAACTTTCTGTGTGTCCATTTCCTGGCGAATAGCAGACTCTACTTCGCAGGGGCTTTTCTATCACAAAATGAATTAATATTCGCAGACCACTAAAAGGGTACCTGCTGCCAAATCTATGCATTCCTGTACTGTTTAGCTGCATGCAGTCAAACATGCATACGGAAGATATAGGTTTAGCTCTTCTGTCCTGTCGGGTTTTAATCACAGAGATGTGTGTAGCACCAGCCACACTGTGAGTGTCCCACCGCTGTCATATGGAGGTGTGACACACACCCCACTGCTCTAAGCTAGGGTGACATGAACGCTTATGCCGCTAGCTCTCTGACGTGGGATGTGCTCATTAAGCCAGAATTTCCACTGTGTCCAGCTCTGAACTGGACGTTGGTGTCACAGAGAAGAGACAAACAGGAGGCTGCACCATCATGGCCTGGAGGTTCCTGGGTCATTCACGTTCGTTCAGGGACAGACAGTAGAGGTGAGATTCGGATTAGACACACAGCAGAACTTTCGAGATGTGGTGATCAGCTGGACTTTTCATTCTCCCTAATCCCTTGTATGAGGAAATAAAGGACCTCATAATCTGAATGGTTTTAGCGAGGTCCAGTGTCAGGACACAAAGACAGATTGGTCTCATTATCATATTTCCCATTATCTCTGTAATTATTTGACTCTTTTATTGTTCACTGGACTTTTGGGAGTGGGTTTAGACTGTCAAGGTCTCTGAAGTCTCTCTGTGCAGGTAGATGGTGACTAGCTCCACTGTGTTCAGAGAGGTTAAGGGATCTCCCCAAGGTAACACAGCATTGTTAGCAAGGCTGAATTGGAACTCGGAATGTGAGCCGCTATCTCTCAGAGTCAGGAATGCTGCCGAAGGGACAAGGAAGCATAAAAATCTCTTCAGTTGTGGCTGTGGGGATGCCTAGGTTTATAGATTCTAGAATCCTTTGGGCCATATCTTTATTTTCACCAATGGAAGGGTAACACCCTTAGGTACGGAAGCATCCTGTAGAAATGATGGAAATTTATTTTTACAAATAGTAGCACCTCTAAGTGAGCAGTAAAGTGTACCTAGATGGTGGCGTTGGGGAGGATTTTGAAGTCTGATCCCAATGTCTTCCAGTGACAACAGAGAGGAGAAGCACCAGCTGTGTTACACCTGTTTATTCCCTAACCAAGTTGCCCATGTGTCTCGGCTCCCAGGGTGGTCCGCCGGCTCCTGGGGAAACAGAGAGCGGCACCCTGTGAAGGAGACAGAGATGGGCAGGAATACCTCTACTGTATAAGATGACGAAGGAATGAGAGTTTGAGTTATATTAGAGATGCCAGCCTTAATGTTTAAGTACGTGTGATAAAATAAAAAAGAGACGCATGTTAGGCAACGAGGACAGAGGATAAGTGAGGCTGTGAACTCCTTCAGAAGACAGCATAAGTCTTATCTTTGAACCCTCTATATCCAGGACTGTGTCTAACCAAGACCCAAGAGCAGGCATCAGTTTGCGGTGACTGGACCGGAGTGACCTGGCAGTGGTGTCAATGGTACTAGCCATCTGATGGGCATTTATAATGAACCAGACCTGGAGCTAAGTCCCTACGAGTCATGATGGGCTAAACCGTCACAGTGATCATGTGAAATACACATTAATGTCTCCGTTTCTCAGGTAGAGAAACCAAAGCAGGACTTAGTTCTTCCCTGAGGTCATCCAGTTAAAAAGTGAGCTAAGCTTCGTGCCCCGCTTCCTCTGACTCCAGAGGCTATGCTTTCAGCCTTTAATAATAATTGATTTTCTTTACTAAACTATTTTCCAGACTGCTTTGAAGCCCGTATACCATGCTGATTCTGTTAATTCTCCCAGACAGTTTATTTAAGTCCCAAATCTCCAGTCTTTGTAGAATTTCATGTGTGGAAGGTCTGGTGGTAGTAGTGGCTTGTCATCCAAGAGATATTGAAATGGAAGCTTTGGCAAGGATGAGGGCTCTACACCATGTTCTTGACTGGACTTGAAGCCCTGTGGAAAACACACACCTCTCCGTCCATAAAGGTGTTTTCTTGCTGGAAGGAGGGCCTGTCTTGAGTATGGATGGAATAGTCCCATGGACCTACAGTCCCAGACTTTGGAGAAAAGATTAAGACAAAACCAAGCAGAAAGATAAGCAGTGGTACCGTTCCTCTCCCTCTGCCTCTGGCTGTGCCGGAGCAGGACCAGCTGCCTCACTTCACCAGACTTCTCCCCACCAGGGCACCAGGGCAGGCCCAAACTGTGAGCTCGATAAAGCCTGCCTGCCTTCTTTCCTTCTTTCCTTCCTTCCTTCCTTCCTTCCTTCCTTCCTTCCTTCCTTCCTTTGCTTGCTTCTTGCTGGGGATTTGGTCACAGTAACAAGACAACTAATACAACAGTTGAGGTCACTCTTTCGATCCTATCCAGCTAGAAATAGCAGAGCTGAGACTGGACGTCTGGGTTCTAAGCCCTGTCTCATGCCAGGAGGTGCTCAACCTGGAAACCATAGCACTTGGAAACGCCTGTGTGTATCCAAGCCCTGGCTTGCTGGCTTGTGATACATCGTTCCAGTCTGGCATGCTAACGGTCCCCAGAATCCTCTCCCAAACCCAGTCACTGTATTTTCCCCAGAGTCCCATTATTCTACTAGAGGCAATTAGGCACACCACTTGGCAATCTTAAACCTCCACTTTCTCATTCTTACACAAGTAAGAGAAACTTCCTTATCACCTGACCTGGCTTTTCTGGGTTTCCAAAGAAGCAAGGATGCCCAACTTGGAGCTTTTCCCATAATACCAGGTAAGAAGAGGAGGCATAGTTGAGTTGAGAGGTGGCTCCATGGTTAAGAGTGCTTGTTGCATTTCCTGAGGACCAGAGTTCGAATCCCGTGAACCCACATTGGGATTACCCTTAACTCTAGCCCTTGATAAATCAGACACCTTTTTCTGACGTCATTGGAACACCCACACGTGTGGCATACACCACACACTTCCACACTAAACTTAAAATAAATTCTTTTTATTAAAGGGCAGGCACACCTCTGAAAGGTTGATTGGTGGAGGTAAGGTCCCACCTACCTCTGTTTCCCTGAAAGTGACATGTCATGACTAAGAATCTCTTTAAATCTCCAAGGCTAAGAAGGGAGAGTACGCATTTAAGGTGACAGCAACCAAAGGGAGGGTGATAGGTCCTAAAAGCAATCTCAGAATGGAGAATTTGAATGCAGTGGATCAGGGGGAGGGAAGAGGAAATTCCACTCCCCAGTTTACCTTTTTGTATCCTCTAATCTCCCAATCCCCAAAGCAGCTCAACTCCAGGTCTTCTACCCCCTTTAAAAGCCAACAAGTGCACTTCTAGCTATTGACCAGAAGGGGTCACTGCGGAGTGAGCAGAGCCCTGGGCACTCCTAAACCAGTAGACAGCAATCCGCCGCACACAACCCCATCTTGTAGCCCTTTCTAGACCAACAGTCGCTCCTTTATTCCTGTGTTCTGGCTTTTCTTGCCCTATCTTGCTCTCTCTCCTCTTCCCCTTTTACCACTCAATGTACCCTCTATTCTCTTGCAAAGAATTTTCAAAGCTAACACGGATGTTGGGGGTCTTCGGTCCACACTTCTAATAGGTCTACAAGAATTAAAGATTTTTCCCCTCTTCAGGGTGGGACCTGGTGTCAGTGTTTGAAAGTCCTTAAGACTTGGTGAAGGCTCCTCCTAGGAGTTTCAAACTCTGGAGGAAGGCTAAAGTGTTGCAAGGATATAAAGGAGAAATGAGCTGGAGGCTCGCACTGGGCTATGTACCTTAAGGAGAAGCCTCCAGTTAAAAGAGACATTGTTGTCTATATCCTGCGTTTCTGGAGTCAGAGATTGGGATTGAGGGGAGTGGGGAGGCAGAAGGAGGAAAACCCAAAAAGTTACTAACTCCTTGTAATCCTCAAACACCCCCCTCGCCACCTCCACCGGAGTGCTTTCGTTGCCAAATCGGACTGCCGCCTCACTTACAAGCTCTGGGTTCTCAGGGGTGGGGAGAAAGGGTGGGGGAGGGGTGCGGGCTTTGGCAGCGGGACGCGAGGCAGGCCGGCTGCAAGGCACAAAAGAGATATCCTTTACAGAGCCGCAGGCACAGATGTGACGCTGCGCCCCTCTGCGGGTGGGGGCCGGCTCGGCAGATGGCGAGAAACCGTGCTGGCGACGGATTGTCCATCAAATGGCATTTTCTGGATGGGGGACGGGGGAGCCCACGGCCCCCAGGCATAAAAAGGAAAAAGTAGGGGCACCTCCACTTTGCAGAGCTCAGCAGTCCTTCCCAGAGGTGGGGATGATGCAGGCAGGTTGGCGTGGGCGGGTAGGTGGGGCTGTTTTTACTAGCTCACTCAACAGAAGATGTGCTCCAAGTCTTGCAAAAGGATATAGGGAGGTGGCTTAGCGCTGTGAGTGTGCATGCAAGGGTTGAGGGGAAGGCCTGCGACGATGGAGGAGGGATGAGGTCTGGGACGGAGGATATCCAGCTCGATTCTATTCTGAGTGCTGGGGTTTCTTCTCAGAGGGGTCGGAACAACCACTCTGGCCACCGGGCCTTGGAGACAAGCGCACGCCCCGCCCTTTCTCCTCCCCAGATCTGCGGGCCTTTGTTATGCAGATGGCGGCGGGAGGCTGAGCCACGGAAGGAGGGGTTGCTGGGGAAGGAGGAGACCGAGAAGGGGAGGGAGGAAAGTACAGCTCGCGCGACCAGCCTCCTCTTCCAACGTCACATTGTGCAAGAGACAAAACCCGGGCGCGCTGGAGCTCACACGCGCACGCACGGCAGACGCCCCGGTCGCCTCCTCTCTGTTCCTTGCGCGGTAGAGAAAGCCGGCCCAGCTTTGCTTTGCTGAGGACGCCGAGCTCAGCCGGCTCCCAGCGCAGTTCAGAGCCAAGGCGGGAGGTGAACCCAGCCGGGGGACCACCTTCAATCTCCGCTGCCTGCCAGGCTGAGTCGTCCCATTCAATCCCATCCCCCTCCCAGAACTCTGATCTCTCCCCCACCCCACCCCTTGGGGCTTTCACGCGGACAGCGCCCGGGAACCAAGGGCGTGTCATCGGGTTTGGAATCCACATTTCAGCACTTCGGACAGCGCCCCGGTCGTCCGGACTCCTTGGGTTTTCAGGATGACCAGCCTGCAGCAGGGCGAGAAACAGCTGTTTGAGAAGTTCTGGAAAGGGACCTTCAAAGCAGTGGCCACTCCGCGTCCCGAGAGCATCATCGTTGCCAGTATCACAGCCCGTAAGCCACTGCCAAGGTAATGACCTCGTTCCTGAGTTGGGGACACTGGAAAGTTCCCCCCGTTTCTTGCCTGCGCCCCAGAATCTTGACAGGTGGATTTAGGCAGCTCGGTCAGGGTGCCTGGACTATGTCGGTCATACTCGGTATCTCACACTGGAACAAGGGAAATATTCGCCTGGGTAGGGAGGAGGCTGTTGAAAAGGGACAGGAATTCTTTGGCGGGGAACAACACTCCCACAGACTCCACACCTCCTTTGCTTTCTTAGGGTGGGCGGTGTGACTTGGGTATGCACTTCCCTGAAAACTTTTTCAGCTATTGCCAAGCTTATCGGTCAGGGGGGCAAGAGAGTGGTGGATCTGAGGTGTTGGGGGGATACTGTCCAAAGCATGAACTCAGCTCTGACAATGTTCAGAGAGGGTATTCTAACTCAAGCTCAGAAACTAGTGGGCTCTGAGGTTTTGACAAAAGTCCATATGTTGTTCCTTCAAATACACTCCAGACAGCACCCTCCTCCGTGCTTAGCTGAGGCTGCTGCTGGGGCTGAATTTTTTCCCCTCCAGCATTCCAAACCAAGTCTCTGAGCTCAAAGTCAGCATGAAGGTAATCGTGGAAGTTTTATTTTATTTGATTTTTTAAAGAATCTGGTGGCTTCGAACTTTGGAATGAGTTGTGGTTCTAGAGTGGAGGTTTAAAAAAAATGACCAGAGGAGAGAATAAGGAAAGAAATAAAAGGCAGAAGAAAAAGAGAACAGGATGCAGGGTAAAGAGGAGGTGCGGGGCGGGGGGGGGGGCACACAGAAGCCTTCCATGGCAGAGAAAAACCCGATGTTTTCTCAGATCGTTAGATTTAGAGGAGCTTGAGACGAAGGCTATGCCCTCTGTCAGGGAAAATCAAGCCTGTATGAAAACTCATCTCTTGGTGCTACTGGCTGAGCGGTTCTGAGAGTAAAAGGAAGAAGAGGATCTGGGGGACCACTCACGGGATTGATTAATACTGGCAGGCTGCATTAGGGAATAGATTGAAAACATGTCTGGGAAAGAGGCCCTGACAGAATGCCTGGCCTAGCAGCAACTAAGTCTGAACTTTCCAGCAAGTGTGGGATCGATGAAGGTTGATTGGAGAAAAATATCTGAAAGGAGCAAACCCACACCCAGGAACTTTTCTTTGTTCCAACTGAAGCTCAGACAGGTCTTTAGACCAACAGAGCATCCTGTGTAGGGAATGTGTGGACAGGAAGCAGGAAGGACCAGCAGAATGTAGAGCCTTGAGCAGAGGCGAGCTTATGCTCAGGAGAGGGGGGAAGCCCCCTGAGGGGGCTAGAGAGGTGGGGGGTGACATCAAATGTCATTAAAGCTGGTGTGCATCTGCTTGTTTGGAGGTTCTTTGTAGAGAGTTTGACGTCAGCGCTTTTATCTTCTTGGTCTTCTGCCACCGGCTTCACCTTCTCGCTTCCACTCCCAGCACATCAGTGCCGCACTGGTCAGAGAAAATGGCCTTGTTGGAGGAACCAGGGAGAATTTGTCTGGTGACAGAAGTATTTGGTCCACAGTCTTCTGTCTATTTTAGTGCTGCCCTGGGGAGGAAAGCAGGTTCTCAATGCTGTTTTAATTTAGGAAAGTGGTCCCTACTATTACCACACATGGTTCTGCCTTTCTGTCTATTGTCTGACTGTCTGTCTGACTGTTTGTCTGATTCTACCTACATACCATTTTCTTGCCAAAAGGTTTTGATTCTATGAATTGACTGAGAGACACCCTAGCCCTACAGCTTTTATTAATTTTAATTTCACTGGTGTGACTTTTGCAAGAGTTCCGTACACCCTCAGTATTTTCTCACCCTTGATGTGTTTTAATGTCCTGGGTTTCTACCTCCCTGATCAACACCCTTGAAGTTTATGTCAGAGTTCTATAAGCTCTTGATTGATATTATACAAGAATGCCTCTATGATTGGCGGCTCCTCTCTGTAGAACACATTCTGGTCTGTAGATGTGATATCTAATCCCGGGTAGAGATTGCAAGGAACATTTATATCCGAGTCCCCAGAAAGGCCTGGCTTAGTCTTGTTCCAACAGACTAACTATAAGACCGAATCATTCCCACGCTCATCATATCAGCTGCATACAGCAGCGACGGTCAGTTCCTGCTCCCTTCCAGCGTTCTGTATCACTAGAGGTAGAAATGTTATGCTTCCAAAGCCGAGCTCCCGGAAAGAAAAAGGAGAGAGATGCTGTATAGCTTCCGCGGAGCCCTGGCGACTCTTTCTGAGACAAGCTGCCGACTTGTTCTCATCAGAAATGTTTAGTTGCTTGAGCCAAGCCCAGCTCAGTCAGAGGATTGGCACAATCCATGCCTGTGGGAAGATGGGGGAGGTATGAGTGAACCACCAGCCAATCAGCCAATCCTGTAGGTTGCACACTTAATATTTGATTATAAATGAGGGTCCCTCCTCTGGATGAGCCTCTCCAGGATATCGTAAGTCTATGGCTGAAGATAATTTAATACCAGTACTAGGGTATGCATTTTAAGTTGTTGATTCCACAGCAACATGCTATGATGGGCAATTGCCTTCTAAGCAGACCCGCTCCTCGGCCCCTCCCTTCTCCCCCACCCTCCCTGTGTGAGGCATTCTTGATGAGGCAAGAGTTTTCTCTTGCATCAAGTTTCAGGCAGATGTCTGACTCAGATGTTAGGATGGCAGAGCCCAGTGAGACGCCAGATACCACAGTGGTCACTTTCGTGCTGATGTGAAGGTCAGAGAACCTGGGGTCCTGACCTGGATTGTTTGTTTCCTGAACCAGAACCTTCACCTCACCGAACACGTTTGTCAGTTTGAAAACAGAATCTGTACCTATCACTACCTCAGCCTCCGTGAGGACTGAGCCAGGTGAAACTCTGCCATGTGTGTGGCTTAGAGTGTTTATTCAATAGACCTTTGTCCTGTAAGGCATCTCAGAGTGGCTAAAAGTAAGCACAGTCTCCAGATCTGTTTCATCTCTCCCTCAACTAATGCTAAACATTGACATTTGAAAGTTCTGCTCTGGACGGGCTACACAATTGAGATGAGATTAATACACAGAGGCCAAGAGGGCTGACCCATAGTTCCCCCCGCCATGTGAGTGGCTTGATTTTTCTCCCTGTGATTAAATACCCCCCAAAGCAACTTATGGGGCAAAGAGGTGATGTCAGCTCATAGTTCAGGGGTATAGAACAACATGGTGAGGAATTCAACCGGTGGGAGCTTTGGGCCACTGATCACATGGGATCCGTAGCCAGGAACAGAGTGATAACACTCAGGTTCAGCCATTTCCTTCTACCTCCCCAACCTAGGGAATGCTGTCACCCATAGTGGTGGTTTTCCCACTTCCGTGATCCTAATCAATATTGTTTCCCATGAACTTGTCCAGGGGCCCCACTTCCATCCCGGTGATTCTAGCTCTCATATAATTGACAACTGAAATTAACCAGCATGGAAGATAACTCTTTTCTTCTCTGGCTGTAGAGTTGAGGGTGGGGCACAGTGAAATCTGGATTCTGAACTGATCCATAAACACCTGATAAATAGCCTTTGGACTCAGGTCACTGAAGCAGGCTGATTGTGAGTTCACCATCAACCTGCATGGCATGGGAAGACCCTGAAAGAGGGGATGGGGAGGAAGGAAAGAAAAGCAAAAGAAACCAAGAGGGGAAAAGAGGAAAGGGACACTCTAGTTTGCTCCTCTGTTGCTGTTATAAAAACACTGACCATATGTGACACTGGAGGAAACGGTGTGTTTTTACTTACATTCCCAAGTCACACTCCATCACGGAGGGAAGTCAGGACAGGAACTCAGTGCAGGATCCTGGAGACAGGAGCTGATGCAGAGGCCATGGAGGAGTGCTCCTCGCTGACTTGCTCCTCCTAATTACTCAGCTTGCTTTCTTATACAGCCCAAGATCATCTGCCCAGAGATGGCACCACCCATAGTGGTCTGGGCCCTTCCTTAGCAATCATTCATCAAGAAAATGCCCCCAGAGGTCTTGCCTACAGGCCAGTCTGATGGAGGTAGTTCCTGAACTGAGATCACCTCTTTCTAGGTGGCTCTGGGATGTGTCAAGTTGACATCTGAAGCTGTGTAGAAGAGAGGGAAAGGAAGAGGGGGGAAGGAAGGAGGAGAGCAGGAGAAAGAGAGGGAGGCAGGAATGAGAACAGCTGTTTAGGATGGAATTCTAACACGGATGATCCTAAGAAACCCAGAGCAAGGCTCAGCACAGTCATAGCTCACCTGACAGTACCTGGCAGGAACACCCCTCCCCAGGAATCAGTGAGATCAAGGACATACACGAGACCCCTCTCTTACCCCCACAAAGGAGAGTCACGTTCCCTTAATTCCTCTGTTAATCTAGCTCAGCCTCAGAAAGTTTGTATCTAAAAAGTTCCTGATCAGCGAAAACCTAGCTTTTAAAGCAGCTCGAACCATAATAATCATATCGATAAATAGCCGTAGCTGGGGACTTAATGAACATGTAAAAATCATTAGGAATTAGCATATGAATTGTTTGCGGATGCGTGAGTGTTTGTTAAGGGCTAGAGCAGGAGCCCCCCTTAAACAGAGCGTGCATTCCCTTTGCTATTTGTTTGGCAAGCTATTAATTTTCTTCAAAAAATCCTTTTCATGCAGAATACTCCAGACTGGAGCCCAGTCCTTGTCCAAAGGCTCATAAATTCCAAACTGTTGGAGGTTTTACTGCACGAGGGGAAAGATGGCCAAACTGTAAAGGAGGAAACAAATGCCTTTGAACCATTTAATTTGAGACTCCTCTTGGTGCCAAGCAATCGGTTAACACATTTGTGCTGACTCTACGTGGTGTGAGGGGCATTTGGATGATGCTTTTCTGACAACCGTGGTTAAGAGCCAGTGGTCTGAGGGTCACAGAAAATGCTTGCCCTGGCCATGAACACAGGCTCCTCTGGGGGAAGGGAGTGATATCGCTGGGGTCAAACGTTTCCCCATCTGAAAGACTAAAATGTGTTGAA